CTGTGCAGTATAGTCTTATTGAAGCAGACATCGACTGCAGGGATACCATCCTAGGGTGTCAGGGTATTGCTATCCGATCAGGCGATGCTGAGATTGAAATATTTAACGTATACTTACCCTCTGTCACCAGCTGCCCGGCAGGATATCACCCTGAAATAGGTGCGCTACTCACAGGTGAAAACCGTATGGTAGTTGGCAAATTTAACGCGCACCACGATATTTGGCACTCAAGCCCGTCAAATGTTCGTAGGGGAATACATCTGGCTGAGCAGATAGACGATTCGACATTCTGCACAATGAACGACGACGCACCCACCAGGATTATGGGTGGAGTCACCAGATCTGGATGGAGTCACCAGATCTGGGTGGAGTCACCAGATGCTGCAGCCTGCCAGATCTAACAATTGTCAGCGCTGGTCTGATCAACAGCGTATCATGGCGACCTATACTGACCCTAGCATTAGACCATCTGCGCATAGTCATCTCGATTGATAAACCTGCCGACTTTGCTTCCGTGGATCACTGGACCTATGTCAACTATTCCAAAGCTGACTGGAAAGGCTTCGCGGATGTTACTGAAAGCGCCTTCACTGCACTACCCATACCAACCAACGTCGACATAGGTGAACGTAAATTCCGCAGGGTTGTCACTGTTGCTGCAGCTCGCTTCATCCCAGCAGGATGTATTAAGGATCCACCTGACAACCTTCGTCAGGCCGATCCAAGAAATCCCCGTAGCAGAGATCTCAATTCGGAGATTCGGCAACTTGTGAACGTGCATAAGCGAAAGAAATGGGCTGAACATTTGAAGACCTGCAACTTCGCCTATGATGTGAGTAAGCTTTGGTCAACCGTGAGGTCGTTGTCTAACCCGACGAAGCGTGACGACAGAGTCGAAATAGACTTTAGTGATCACGCTTCGTCGGACCCTTAGCGATGCGCGAGCTATTTTAGCCGGCAGTTTATTCTGCATCCTCCAGTGGATAAAGCCAAACATTTGAAAGGCGAAAGCCTCCAAAGCCATTGGACCCGGTGGAATATGCATGTTGATGCTGAAAAATTTGGGTCCTGCGGGAGTAGCGAACCTAACGGAGGTCCTCAACTTGTCTATGGTCACTCTCGTTATCCCAGATATATGGAAGATGGGAAGAGTGATCCCACTATTCAAACCGGGGAAACCAGCCAACAAAGGAGAGTCTTATCGCCCGATGAACCTCCTTTCCCCGGTAGCAAAGACACTAGAAGCCTTGCTACTTCCGTATTTCACGAACCACCTGACCCCAGCGAAGCATCAGCATAGGTTCCGTAAAGAGCATAGCACAACAACAGCACTTAACGCCATTAACACTCAGATAACTCGTGGCCTTAACCGAAACCGCCCCTGTGAGAGAACTATTCTAGTAGGGTTGGACCTGTCCAAGGCGGTCGACACCGTCAGTCATTCACCGCTGCTAGAAGATATAGAGGCCTTCTCGCTTCTTGACTGCAAGGAGCCTTGCCCTATCCCCAGCGAAATCCTCGGCAACCCTATTCACCACCTGGACGAAGGAGGTCAGACTGCAACTGGGTATTCACGTTGATGGCGTAACAATACCGGCGGTGAATAATTGCCAATTGCCAATAAAGTACAGAGCCGCAACAATGTCGTCAAGCCGCTGACCGGCAGCACTTTAGGCAAAGATAAAGAAACGTTGTTGGCAACATACAAGGCAATTGGCCGGCCGGTTTTAAACTATGCAGCGCCCGTGTGGTCGCCGGTGACTAGCAGGACGTAGTGGATGAAGCTACAGACCTGCCAAAACACGGCACTACGAACAGCGACCGGATGCCTCCTGATGATGCCCCAACACCACCTACACGACGAGGCCCAGGTGCTCCCAGTCAACGAGCTTAACATAATGCTCTGCAAGCAGTTTCTTGTGGGGTACCACAGACGTGACCATCCCAGCAAACAGATGGGTTCATTAAACAAGCTCTGGACCCGTCAGCCTACCGACAGGCCCTGAGCGGCATTTACAGGGAATCAGTCTCGAGTTATGTAGACTCCCGCCCTGTGCCATTCTGGGCACACAGGACAGAACTTAGTCTGCCTCGGGAGACCCGCACCACAATAGCCCAACTTCGCTCTGGCTATTGCAGCAGGCTTAACTCATACCTGAGCAGAATTAATGAGGATGTGCCCAACCAATGCCCGGCATGTGGAAAGTCACCACATGACTCTCGGCGCCTCTGCACATGCCCTGAGAACCCCACCCAGCTGACACCCTGTCCTTATGGACAGACCCTTTGGAAGTCCCACACTTCCTGAGTCTCGCCCTTAGCTGAAACAGACGACAACGTTGACTGAATTCCTGAAATGTGCTTGTACCGAATGTACGTTCAAATTTAAGAAGCTGAAGAGTACGTACAATTCACTATCCACTTGTTCGCTTCTTCTACTTCTTCTTAAAAATTATTCTTTACACTCTCATTCTCATAGTATTGTGACGTCACACTCAATTGCTCTCAGCTCGATTGGCGCAATCTTATATTCTATCATTTTGATCGCGAAAAATCTCCAAAAGAATATCAGGCACGCCTAACAACATATGTACATCACCTAGTTACATGCATCTCATACTACCAGCTTAGGTTGATTACACATTACATCTGTTACTTTTATGTTACGTGCTTTAAAGCCAAACTGATTTTCATTTAGAGAATTTTGGCGATGGACATTTAGCCGGGAAAATGTCAGCATTCCACTGCAGATCTGTTCTAATTGGTTCCTGATCCAACCTTCTATTATTGAATCATGATCAGGGTTGCCACTGACTAAAAAAAATATTTACCATCCACTTGAAAAAAATTTACCAAATCTGGAAAATATCTACCAATAACGTTTTTTAGCTATTTTAATAAAAACTATAGTTTTGTTCTATTTCCATAGAAATTAAAATTTTTTATTAAGGAACTTTTTATTTAACTATTGATATGGTATTTGAGATCATATTAATGACATATTCTCGGTTTTCTTTAACCAAAAGCGAAAGTGATGAAACATAGGGAACAACGAAATTTCATCATTTGAAAAAAAATTCAACTGGATTATTAAAGACAAATGCAGTGACACAAAAAACCTCTTGGTAATTTTTTTTATATTCACAATGTTCAAGTAATTTTTTTCTATTTTTGTTTGTATAAGAATATTGCTTGCTATTTAACCAAACCCATAAAACTCAAGTATTCAAGCTATATACAACACTTAGAAAAATTACAAAAATTTTCGTCTAAACTTTCAAGTTTTTAATCTAAATTTTTCGGTATGCAGTTTTATAGTCGGTGGAAGTTTAGTATAACAAACAACGTGGAGAAAATTTATAATATACAGGTAACTACGAGAAATAAAGCGGGAACGAAAAATTTTATTTGTTTTTCAAACAAAATACTTTAACAAAAATGTACCAAAAAAAAAAAAAACTTACCTTTTTACCCACCCAAATTGTTTTTACCAATTTTGGTAATAATTTACCAAAGTGGCAACCCTGAACATGATTTCAGTTCTTCTTAAATTTCGAACTAGGTCGTTCTTTTCAGTGAACTATGTATTTCAATGAACGATAGTTCTTGAACTACCCAACTTTATTACTTTCCCTTTTTGTTTTTACCTGACATTCGTAAATGATTTTTTCATATTCATCAAGTCAAAATGGATGATAATATACAAAAATTACAAAATTATATTATATCTCCGGATTTACCAATACATAATCCTTTGCCAGAAGTTATACCTCGACGCTTTGATGAAACGCGTCTTTTACATTTACCGAAAGGTGCTGCCAGCACCAAATTAGTGCCACGTCGCGACTTTGTAACCGGCGAGATTATAGAATTTGTCGAAGTAGACTTGGAAGATGTTGGTGCCAACGCATGCAACTCCACTTCAATGCGCCGGGAGCCTGGTCTTCTAGAGGAAGCAACACGCGGATCAGCTATGAATTTTCCTTTTTGGCCGGGTGGATTAGATGAACCGCCAAGGGAAATCAAAAAGCTAAGCATTGATCTGGACTTTGGCACAGAACTGTTGACCCTGCCGCCAGGATTTCGAAAAGGCTACAATTTCGAGACCAACGTGGAAACACTTTCCCCTGGTTCAATTTTGGTAAGCAATGATAAAGTAAATCTCCTGGAAAATTTAGAAAAGGATCTCGATGTTCAAGAGTGGCTTAAGTTGGCGGAACAACCAACGGAAGCTGATTCGGTCACAGTTCTTGATAACTCAACAGAATTCAAAGATGTAGAAGAGCAAATTATGAATGCCGACCTTAAGCCAGTATTGGAAATCTCAAACACAAACACAAAGTCTGCTTTCAGTAGTGAATGGGCTGAAATGGTTGATATCTCGCATCCTATTGCTAGTTTCAAAGAGAAAATTCCATGCCCTGCCATGACCTACCCATTTGAGTTGGATATTTTCCAAAAACAGGCAATTCTTAAATTAGAAGAACGTCAATATGTCTTCGTAGCCGCGCATACGTCTGCCGGTAAAACAGTAGTGGCAGAATATGCTATAGCCCTGTCGCAACGCGATTTAACGCGTACAATATACACTTCACCCATTAAGGCGCTATCTAATCAAAAATACCGCGACTTCAAAAAAACTTTCAAGGATGTAGGACTGATAACTGGCGATCTACAAATTGATCCCACTGCTTCCTGCCTCATTATGACTACGGAGATTTTGCGCTCCATGCTTTACTGCGGTAGTGAAATAACACGAGATCTCGAATATGTTATTTTTGACGAAGTACACTATATAAACAATCCTGAACGTGGTCATGTTTGGGAAGAGGTAATACATGTTTGTATGAAATTTGACTTTAAATTATTTGTTTATTTATAGGTGATAATACTTCTTCCCGACCATGTGAATATAATTATGTTGAGCGCTACAGTGCCGAATACAATGGAGCTAGCTGATTGGGTTGGCAGCACTAAAAAAAGAAAAGTATATGTTATAAGTACCCTTAAACGTCCAGTTCCTCTTATGCATTATCTTTACACCGGGAGTGGTGGCAAGAGCAAAGATGATATATTTTTATTAGTTGACGCAGATGGTAAGTATCTGCAGCAAAATTACGAAAAGGCGGTAGAACGCAAGAAAGAAATGCAATCCAAGTCAAAAGGAGCGCAGGGTAGCGGCTGTCCGACAGCGAAAAACTTTGTAAGCGCTAAACAAGATCAAAACATGTGGATCGGGCTAATAGACTTTCTGAAGCGTAATAACAAAATGCCTGTTGTAGCGTTTACACTATCACGCAATCGTTGTGACATCAATTTGCAGGTATGTATTTTATTGCCGGTCTATTATGCCTTGATTGTTTCTAAATACGATTTCAGGCTCTACAATCAGTTGACTTAAACACAGCTCGCGAAAAAGGATCTGCGCAAAAATTTTTCCAACAATGTTTGCAAAAACTTNCAAAATCGATGGCGAAGTGATAATACGTAATTGGGAGCAACGTCAAATCGAACGTTTCAAAGACTCGCCGCCAAGTGCAACAGTGGTAAAGGCCGTAAGTGAATTACAACAGCTCAACCAAAGCTATATAGACAAACCGGAAACATTGAAGTTCATGAATCTGTCCAAAGAGGTTAACATAAGTGAGGAGAATGAGTTGGCTCAAATACGTTACACGGAACATTTATGGAAACAATTACTCGCTGTACTGCCTCATACAAATATTGCTGGGTTTGAACAAGAATTCGCGATTGTTTATGAACGCAAAGTGTTGGAGCGCTGTATCGAAGAATTGAAATTTAAAAATTCGACTAAAAATCTCTCTCTTTATCCAGATTATTGCAATAAATTGGAAGTTTTGCGTTCACTTAAGTATATCGATGATTTAGATGAGGGTAAGTGTGTTTATAATATTATAAATATTTTTTGTTTCTAAAACAATTATATTTTTCGCAGTTACCCTAAAAGGCAAAGTTGCTTGTGAAATGGGACAAAATGAGCTCTTAATAACTGAACTAATACTGTGCAATATGTTCAATGACCTCGAACCGGCGGAAATTGCAGCATTGCTGTCGGGTTTAGTATTTCAAGGAAAAATCCAGGGAGAACCGGTGATTCCGGAGAAGCTAAAAAAAGTAAGTAATGCAGTTGCACTATTTATGTATATTGTTATTGATTGTCTATCTATATAGTGCGTGAAAGAATTCGAAGAAATCAATGACGCCATTTTAGCTGAAGAACTGCGACATCAAACAGTCATAGAATCAGATAATCGCCTCAATTTTGGATTACTAGAAGTTGTGTACGAATGGGCTCGTAATAAGGTATTATATGTATATAGCCTTTGCTTTTCCCGAACGAAGTTAAATAAAAATAATTTACAGATTCAAAAAAAAAAAAACAACTTGATGAAATTCTTAATAAAATTTGTTTAGCCTTTTGCAGAAATAATGAAATTAACTGAAGTGCAAGAAGGTATAATAGTACGTTGCATACAGCAATTGGATGAGACTCTTCGCGATGTNAAAAAAAAAACAACTTGATGAAATTCTTAATAAAATTTTTTTAGCCTTTTGCAGAAATAATGAAATTAACTGAAGTGCAAGAGGGTATAATAGTACGTTGCATACAGCAATTGGATGAGACTCTTCGCGATGTTAAAACTGCCGCCATACGTATTGGCAATCCAGCGTTACAGACCAAAATGGAGGATGCATCTACTGCCATTAAACGAGATATAGTCTTCACAGCAAGTTTGTACACAGCAATATAATTCTATATTGATTTCGCAACGGTATAATGAAAACAAGTAATTTTTAACCAAAAAAACAAAACCGACTTCAATTCTCATATAAAAATTTAAGATTGTCGTTAATTTCTTCATGATCGTTTGTTCGAATCTGAACCAAATTAGTATGGGACAGCCTGTGAGGTAACACCTTTCCTTTAAAAAATGAATTTAAGAAATCGGTACATAAAACAACCAAAACAAAAAAATATTCCCACGAATTGATAACCTTCTGCTTTTTGTGAAGTCCGTCAATAAAACTTTTATGACTAAACTTAAATTTCAAACGTTAGTTGGATTTAATTTTCAGGCAGCCGTATTTTACAAAATGCGTTTATTTCAAGCTGTACGAGACGCTCGCTTTTTAACATAATATTGTGCGACAACTAAATGACATCTTTAATGAGCATTATATTCATACTTATTTTATGAATAAAGGCCTGTTTACGTATACAATATACATACATAAGTCAACCTTTATTATGGTTCACAAACTAAACATTACTTGTAAAAATAATTTTATACAAAAAATTTTTACGAAATTATTGAATTGCATTTATCGTGACTCAGGTTTAAATTTAGGTGGAACAATCATGCCGTGCATGCGTTTTTGTTTTTTAGACTTTTTCGATTTACTGGCTCCCGACTGGAAATCATGCCAACTATTTACACGACTTTGGCGCGATTCTTCAAAATTTTTTTGCCATTCTGTGTCGGCTTTACGTTTCTCTTCTTCTTCTATTTCGGCTTCTCGTTTACGTTTGCGTTCCTCTTGATCTCGCGTATCTAATTGTTGTCGACGGCGTTCCATGTCAGCAAATAGTTTCATTACCATTACATATACAGCATGTTTGTACTTTGCTGGATCATCTTCAGGGATACTTTCGAATCCTTTACTCTCTTTTCGCAACTTCTTTCGCTTTTCTGCAATCTGTAATCGAAAAGAAATCAAGAATAATTTCTAATAAATACGTTTACTAGCATTACGGCTTACCATGTGATCGGTCCTTTCTTTCGCCTCCTCGTACACGCCCAAGCACTTTTTGCGTGTTACATCATTTTCCAGTGTCTTCCATGCCCGGTTTATGATATCAAAAGCAGTCTGTGCGCGTTCTTTATCGTCCTGATTCTTATCTGGATGTACCAATATGGAGAGAGTGCGATAGCGTTTCTTTATTTCTTCAACAGTGGCCTCAGGCTCTATTTGTAGCACCTCGAATGGATTGAGATTGAAGTATGTGGAACCTGGACGAAGTAAACGATCAATTTGTTGAGAACAGGTTAGAACAGAATCGCGTTTTTCAATTTCTTTAACCTGCGAAAATGTCCAAAATGTGATTAATTTCAGTTGAATTCAGTAAAAAAGTATGTATGTGTAGAGCTATAAATGGATTGCGCCATCGATTTAATAGTTGGCCAACATATCATTACTTTTTACAAAAGAGTGTACACATCCTTCTGTCGGTGAATTATTATCAGTAATTAACTACATACCCACGCATTTATTGATACAATTTCTTTTTGGTAATTTCCAGTTACTTACCTCCGTATAGAAAGAATCAAAGGAGTTATCCTTCGATGTTGTGGGGCGTTCAGTAAAAGACATTTTCCAGCTTCAGTAATAAAACTGCTAAGGGATTATTCGCACATTAACTCTATGATTTTATTTTGTTTTTTTTTAAATAATATCGCAGTAAACGATTCTCAAGAAAATTAGAAAACTTCACGATATCAATTTTTTATTTACCTACAAGTTCGTCCACACGCTAACGTCAAATTAACACAGATTGATCACAAAGCTATAATTTCGATACAGGCTGTATATTTTTTACATTTGGGGAACAGAAAATATTCAAATTAGGGTCTGTGCCAATCGGTAACTTTCTCTTCCGCGGTGAGACGGGGTGGCAATATTTGTTAACTGCCAAATTTGTATGGAAATTTATTTAACCATTATTATCACTTGATCAAACGATTTTGGTGGATAAGAGTTTCTATTCAATGAAAAATGCAAAACAAATTTAAATGGACAATTAATTCAATAACAGCTTTCTTTCTTTGATATACCAACGCTAATTGTTTTCCCAGTAGTTGTCAAAATACGATAAACCATTGCAAGAGCAATGTTTTAAGCGAAGCGCACATTGGCGCGATTCTGTCGTTGCGAATCCGCAAGCCCAAAAATTACAACAATGCTACCCATACATTTTAATGCGCTAGCGCACACTTGCACGATTCCGTCGCTGCGAATTTTTCGAACATTCAATGTTCTTCTCTATTGACGCGTTCGAAACGCGGCTTGCAGCGTTTTGAAGGCGTCAAAGAAGAAGAAGAAAGGTGTCACAGCAATAAAGGCAAAGAAAAAAAAAGTGTAATGTACAAAAACTAATAAAAACGTTCGTAATAATAGTATTTTGTACGATTTGGGCACGCCGAGTGCGAAAATACACGAAATAAAGGGAAAATTGAGTGAATTGTACATCGGAAATCGACGCGAAAAAATCGCTGAAGTGTGCGCACGTTTGCGGATTCGAAGTTAACAGCCGAATTCGCAACGTATTCGCAACGACAGAATCGCGCCAATGTGCGCTTCGCTTTATCTTCAATGATGTATATCAAGCTATAAATACTGATGCCTGTGAAGGCATGGACTTAGAAGGCACTGCGCAAGATATGGCAACTTAGAGCAGCCTGTTCGTGGTCGGGAGAACTCTGGCAGACTGTCACTTTCCTCCATCTTTGGTTCTTTCTCCATAACACAACAATATGGTGCACAAAACAATAAAATTTCTTTCACGTGGAAACATTTTCGAGCTCACATCGTTTGCGCTGAAATCCAAATCTGGTCGTAGGCAATTTGCATCTAATATAGCAGCTAAAATGGAAAGCACACCAAAATTGCTGGCGAACTCGTCAGCCATTGTATGGATGGATCTTGAGATGACAGGACTGAATTCGATTACGGATAAAATAATCGAGGTTGCATGTCTAATTACAGACAAAGACCTTAATATTTTAACAGAGGGTCTGAACTTTGCTATAAACTACCCCAAAGAAACTTTTGAACAAATGAACGAGTGGTGCACAAAGCAACATAATGAATCGGGTTTGATACAAAAATGTTTAAAATCGGATATTACACCTGACCATGCGGAGAGCTTAATCTTGGATTATCTGCAAAAACATGTTCCAAAGGGTAAATGCCCTTTAGCAGGGAGTTCTATATATATGGATCGACTGTTCTTAAGACAACAAATGCCTACAGTGGACGAATATCTGCATTACCGTATTATCGATGTTTCAAGCGTTAAGGAGCTATGTAGACGATGGAGGTTAGATGTTCTGCACTCTGCGCCAAAAAAGCTTTTACTACATAGAAGCTTAGAAGACTTAAAAGAAAGTATTGAAGAACTTAAATATTACCGTGAAAACTTTTTTAAAACCACGTGATAAATAGCGTTGGGCGAACTGCAAATTCAATCATTATGAAGATACTTGTACAAACTCTTGTTTAATAAACCGAAAGATTTATTGAGCAATGCCTTTTTAACAATTTTTATATTTTCATATTCCCTTTTATAAGTTTATGTATGTATTTGTTAAACCATTATGATAAGAATATTCTTAAATTAAGTGAGATTCTAATTTTGAATGAACCATTTACGTGAGTTTCTTCATGTAAATCATGTAACAGCATACCACTTCCCCAAAGGATGACGGTCCTTCCCCAATTATGAAGTCTAGATTTAATGTAGCCGTTAGGCTTGGTTACACGACTGACATTTTTGTAATAATTTCAAAGTAAATTTTTAAGTTGCGTCAAAATTTTTCTGATCAAAAATTTTTGAGAAATTTTGAAAAAATTCTTTGAATTGCTCAAGGGATGTAAATAGCTTTCAAAATCGACCGTTCCTTCGGACTGATCTCAAAATTTTGAGGAATTGATCCTTATTTCAATAGAATTTTTAGTAATGTCCTGCTAATGAATAAAATAAAAAACTTGCATTAAATTTACTTATTTTATTTTTATTTTTTGATCTAACCTAATTTGAGCTATTAAAATGCGTCGATGGCAGCTCAGTAAACCGGTGTCAAACTGACCTGATCAAACACATATAAGATTCTGAAAATATTGAAGCCTACTAAACTTTTTGGGAAGCCGTATTTTCAATCATGTACATACTCGTTCAAAATATGGGTTTAAAAACATTACAGACAATAAAATATGTCAGCCGTGTAGACCCAGCTTTAAGCAACGTTCACCCAGAAAAAAAGTACATTTTACAGCTGATGGTGTTCAGGTCAAATACAGTTGGCTACCCTGTTCTGACAACAATATTGCGGCTTTTGTGAAAATTTGCAATTTTTATATTCAATAAAAATAAACTATTGAAATGGAGCATATGGACATTGATTCCGACGCCAACTTAAATTTTGGACCGTCGTGCAGCCACCATCCAACATGCAGAGCGGCTACGTCCAACGCCAGCATTATGGCCGGACCAGGCACGGTACCATCAGTTACTGCCTCTCTTCATCCTTTGGTAATATTAAATATTTCCGAACATTGGACTCGCATACGAGCACAAGCTGGTGAAACTTGTCAAGTGTTTGGGGCTTTAATAGGCAAACAAAAAGGACGTAACATCGAAGTGATGAATTCGTTTGAACTACGGGTGGACAGGGTGGGAGAAGATGTCATCATCAATCGAGAATACTATCAAACAAAGGAGCAGCAGTTCAAGCAAGTACGTAAAAATGTATATCTGTAGTCAGAAGTCTATTTATATTGTCCTTTTGTAGGTATTTAGCGATTTAGATTTTATTGGCTGGTACACCACTGACGAGGCTCCCACTCCTCTTGATATTCAAATCCAAAAACAAATGGCTGAAATTAATGAATGCCCTATTCTATTGCAATTAAATCCATTGTCGCGAAGCGTTGACCAACTTCCACTGAAGCTGTATGAATCTACAATTGAATTAGTAGACGGAGAAGCTACAATGTTGTTTGTTCCACTCACATACACATTGGCCACCGAAGAAGCAGAAAGAATAGGCGTTGATCATGTAGCGCGTATGTCAACTAACGAAACTGGAGAGAAGTCTGTTGTTGCTGAACATTTAGTGGCACAAGATAGCGCTATAAAAATGTTAAATAAACGTATTCAAATAGTTTTAAAGTATATTAAAGATGTCGAAGATGGAAAATTGCCGGCTAACCAAGAAATATTGCGCGATGCGTACGCACTAAGTCATCGGCTGCCTGTAATGAAGGGTCCTGTTTTTCAGGAAGAGCTGTATACTCAATGCAACGACGTTACCCTTATCAGTTACTTAGGCGCGATGACCAAAGGTTGTAATGATATGAACCACTTTGTTAATAAATTTAATGTACTCTACGACCGTCAAGGTTCTGGCCGGCGTGCTCGTGGCTTATATTTTTAAATAGAAATAATAAATGACCGTCATAATACAACACATGTATGTATATATTTCAACGAATCTTACCACTAAGATTGAAATATGCCAATAACCCAACAATATGGTACCAAAACATCATATCGATTATGGTATCCGACGCATGCCATCCGCACGGATCTAATCCGGTTCGCAGTGTCATACGAATCTAATTCTTCACGCTCGCTTTTTATAACCGTGCGAATCGTACTACTACTCCTCCGCTTTGTCGGGTGCTCCTCGATCTCGCCACAAAAAGGAGGGTGACCTACAGTTTAATGCCGACTCTAACGCCGATTGTATTTTTATGAGAAATTGCTTTTCATGGCAGAAAAACACTCGGGNAGTGCGAATCGTACTACTACTCCTCCGCTTTGTCGGGTGCTCCTCGATCTCGCCACAAAAAGGTGGGTGACCTACAGTTTAATGCCGACTCTGAACGGCGATTGTATTTTTATGAGAAATTGCTTTTCATGGCAGAAAAACACTCGGGAGATGTGCCATTGCCCGCCGAGGGGCGACCGCTCTTAGAAAGAATTATTATTTTTTTTTTTATGTTAACCGGATACTGGGCTCGAACCCAGGCCCTGCGGAATAGCGCACTGCTAACCCCTTCATTAACCTGCGCATAAAAAACCATTTGGAAGCAGTTAATTGTACCTATTCCGGCATCCGACGGATGTCATTCGCTCGAATCTAATTCGATTCACACTGTCGAGGCAAGAGCGAAGGGTTAGATTCGTGCGGATGGCATAAAACGGATACCGGAATAGGCATGCGGATATTCAGAAACAGTGGCCCTTTGAAAAAGCCTACTGACGTTCTTTATGTTTTTAGCATGTTTAGTGATTTACACTTCTGGATATTTAAATAGATATTTCGTTTACCAAAGACGGTTTCGAATTCCAGCAATGCATCGACAATTTTTATTATACACATTTTTAAAGTTACTTTGAAAAACAAGGATATACATACAAAAAAATTCAGTTTTTAGTCCTGGAAAACCGTAAAAGTTTTTGCAGTAAAAATTTCGCTTTAGAAAATGTATACCTAACTGTCATTTTTGAGTTAAGTAGTTATTTAAAAGAGTTTACGTAGGAAAAAATATTTTTATTCTCCTTTTATGAATTACAATACACTGAGAAGTTATAAAACTTTCTCGAAAGGTTGAACTGTGCTTATAACGAGTTTAGACTTACATACATCAATTAATTTCAACAAATGCACAACATTTTTTCACCATATAGTACGACATACATATGTATGTAGTTATAAAAACAACTAAGTGAAATACCATTTAACAGCAATCATTTCTTAGATTTAATTAAAATTAAGAGGATCTGCTTTTGATTGTTGATGCCTAAGAGCTGCTG